TATGAACCCCTGAGAGCAAGATTTACTTTACAAAATGAGACCCCTTTCCCCTTACTGTCAACCTTTGCATACGAGCAAATCTGTCCCTTTTTGTTACTTCGACTGAATTGATCCCACAAGAACAGCTCTTATACAACAAATCTCTAGCACAGTATCTACTAATAACAGGTAATATTAGCTTCAAATATAATTTCTCAGAAACAGCACATTCTCAAATTATTTTAAAGTTATAACTCAAAAGGCATTTTCTCATGAACTATTGTCCCAAGGAACAAGGGAAATAATCAATTTCATGTCTTACGGAAAAAAGCTACCTAATTTTAAAACACCATAATTTAAACTTGTTAGTGACTATCTCTTTGAGGACACAATTAGAGCTAAAAAGGTTACTCCGAAGAAGATGGACATAAATGCTCCCTCCTAAACTTGAGGAGTTCGTGGACCCCATCTTTGGACTCCCTGGGGGTTCCCAGCCCCAGGCAGGAACGGCTTAGGTGGACCTGGTATTCCTTGCTCTTGTCCGCAACCACACAGGCTGAACTCACATAAGGGACCTACTCAACCTACAGTGAACACCACAAGGGCCTTCTAGAAAGTTCTTTCCCTGAGGCCAAATGCTCAGGGAGTTTCCGGAGTATTGTGGGCAACAGGAACTTGCACCTGTTCTTGGGCAGCAGGCCCATCCCAGAGGCCTCAGTGACATGACTGCAGCAGATCTGCCTGCCCACTGCCGGATTGAGTTCATCTGTACCCAGGTGCCACCCTTAGAAGTGCCAGTTTACAAGCAAACAGGACAAGAGAAGAGTTTTGCAGACTTTTTATTTTTTTCCTACGAAGTAAGAGAATCACAGAGGAGGACTAATGCCCAAGACAGAGCTTCCACAACCACGCCCAAGGATCAAAGAGTGTGGATAGAAGGCCCGGGGTGATGACTGAGCTCTTAGCACAGTCGCCAGGGCCTGAGAAGTGACCAAGAAATGATGAAAGAGACCGTGGACTCACGTTTCTAGTGAAAGCTGCTTTCACTTGGGAAACACCAGGCGTAGGCTGAGCACCCCAACCCCCAAATCCTAAACGCAAATCTGGAACTGTGATGGCTGATGTGATGCCATCAGTGGAAAATTCCACACCTGCCTTCTGTGCAGTCAAAATGCAGACAGTGCTAAACAGTGCAGAAAATTACTGCAGGCCGTGTAAAAGGTCTGCCTTAAACTAAGTGAGTTTCACACTTAGACTTAGGTCCACGCCAACAAATCCTACATACGTGTAAATATGGCAATATTTTTAAACAATGGAAACCCAAAGTACCTCTGTCTTACACATTTTAGGTAAGGGATACTCAGCTGCTACTTTACATAATGGACACCTCAAACTCACTCCTAAAAGAATAGCCTTTTTGTAAACAAAGAAAGAGAAGTTAAGGGTGGCAGACTGATTTAGTTAATGCTGAACAGGAAGTGGAGAAGCAGGCGTCAAACAGGGCAGGTCTTGCCTCCCCCTTGGACTTCCTGTCCCCGCTGGGCATCAACAAAACTACTGGCAGCTTGGATCCTTCTAGCCATGAAGATAGCACAATCATCTAGCACTTTTTAATGGCAAACCCCAAACCTGTTAGAAGTCAATCATCAAATATACGGAGAACAAAAAACACAAGAGAAAAAACCAAAACCAAACCAAACCAAAACAAAACTAGAACCTTCTGGGGTGATGGGAAAGGCCTTTTAATTGTATTTTGTGGTTCCAGAGCAGCCATCATCTCCAGTCCTGGGGAATGTCTCATTGCTGCACCACTCATCATGGGGAGGGGTGGTGGTGCACCGGCCACTGCTGGCCTTGGAACGTTGGAACCATGGCTGCTGTGATGAGGGAGGTCATACTCACAGCTGGTGTCACCATGCTGGACAGCATGGGACCAGGCTGCCTGGGTTAGGAGGAGCCCTGGGGCTCCTCCACCCTCCTTTCTCCAAGGGAAACATTCTTCATTTTTCGCTCTACCTTGATGCCTGCAGCTGGCCTCTCCTCACCCATTTATAATGAGAAAAGCTCTCCAGCCTACTTGAGATCTGATGCTTCTGCTAGAAAAATCTTCTGAGTTAATACCTACACCCGCAGGGCCGTGATTTGGGACAGATCGGTGTTCTGGCATAATGTAAACCCTCTCACTTGCCCCGGGGTTATAACCCAGCCTGCTAACGCCGGCTCTGACCTCATGCATGTGGACTGGCAGCCTTGCAAGCGGGGCCAGGCTGTACTGGGACCGCTGGGTGCAGTGTTGCTACTGCTCCCTATGAATCCGCAGGGTTCCATCCTGCAAGCGAGAGCCCATGGCAAGCACAGTGACGCTGCATGAATGGGAGGAGGCTTTTGGTCACCCGCAGGGCTGCACTGCCTGCCTGGACTCCTTTCCCGGGCACGCTGGGCTCAGAGCCCGCACCCTGCATGCTCCTGCAGAGCCCTCTCCCGCGCCCTTCCTATCCCCAGAGCACGCACTGTGCTTCCACACCTGCCCAGAGGCTCACTTGCGTGGCCTTGGGCCACAGGCTACAGCAAACGTTCCCAGTTCAGGGAGTTCAGGAAAGTTAGGTAAACCAAGACTGCCTCATCCTGAGCACAGAAGCGCAGATCACGTCCCTTTGCTTCTTCTCACCTGCGGAGTGGACCACTGCTCATCTGTTTTTTTCCTCATCCCAAACTGGTACTTATGTTTTGTTTTCATTTTTCTGGGGTTTTTTTGGCAATGCTAGTGGTTTAACCCCGAGTCTTCACACTGAGCTACGTCCCCAGCCCTTTATTTTTCCTTTTCAGAGAGGGTTGTGCTAACTTGCTAAGTTGCCCAGGTGGGAGCTTCTGCTTGTGACCTCCTGCCCCAGCTTCCCAGAGTGCTGGGAGTATGGGGGTGTGTGTAATGTGCTGCTCCATCCTTTCTGCTTTATCTTGCCACCTCCCCCTCCCCTGACACTGTTGGACAACTTTTTCTTTATACACCAGGCCAGACAATACGGAAAATACTTATGACAGATAAATGGATTCACTATAGGCTGGAGCTAAGCAATTTAATGCTCATTAATCTAATTACACCTTCAAAAACATAAATGAGATTAATCAACCCAGTTTAATTTTAGTGGATTTTCATTTTTTAAGTTCTCCACCAGTCCCTGTTAAGTGAATAATTAACATTTCATTCCTTTTTTCTTTTTCTTTTTGAGACATAGTCTTACTATGCAGTTTGGGCTTACCTTGAACTCATGGTAATCCTCTTGCCTCAGCCTCCCGAGGGCTGGGATTACAGGTATGCACCACCATGCCTACCTAACATTTCATTCTTATGCATGAAGATATTTTATAAAAGACTTAACCAGGAGAAAGCAGAAGCTGTGAAATATATTAAAACTGCATGCATCACTTTAGATTAGCTTCACCTGGACTTAAATGAGGAAAGAAGTACATTAAATAAGGTTTTTTTCTAAAACACTGGATTGTTTTCAGCGTGACACATGTTCCTAAGGGAAAACCCCAAACCAGGTAAGAAGTAGGATAATAAAGACAGTGTTGTCTTCAAGTACATAAGACTGTGACTCCTGAATCCAGCTGGATCTCAAGTCTGCGTGCTTTGCTGAGTCCTGTATCATTAGAACTTAGTGTAGACTCTTCTGATGCTCCTACCAGCACTCAGAGGATAAGTAGGTTAGACTGAATATTCTGTGACTTGTTAACTTGGCTACATTTTCACAAGCAAAGCACTCTAGAAGCTGATCTTTGGCAAAACGTATCTTTTCCTTGAAATCTGGTGTAAAATTGGTGAACTTCCCAAATAGTTCACTTACTGGCACATAGAGAGCTTATGCCAAGCAGAACGCTGATTCCCAATGCATCTGAGAGATAACTCCCAAGGGAAGAGCAGACTAGCAATAAGGTCACATTAATTTACACAGGATTGAATTCCGAATCCTTGTTTACTTCTTTATCATTCCAGTGAAATTATCTCTTACCAAATTATTAGCAAATCATCACCAAATTATTAGCAAAGAATATTAGATGGGAAGATAGGGCCCATTGGGACATGAGAAATTTTAAGTGTTATCAGCAATGTCACAACTATGATCAGGCGGACAGTCTCATGGTATCAACATTATTATTTCTTTCTGGTTTTTTTTGGTACCGAGGGTTGAACTCATGACTACGTGATTGCAAAGCAGGCACTTTATGCCTCTGAGCTAAATCCCCAGCCCCCCCCCCCTTTAAAAAAAAAAACAGTATTATTTCTTATTAACGCAAACAAACAGACAGACATTCAAATCACTTGAGTGAGGGTTCTTTCATAAGGTTGATATGTAATTTTCCAGTTATATGCGATAACATTGTTCGATTGCAATTTAATCTTCCACCTGTCCGATCTTGTGCATGAATCTTACACATGCCTTGTTTTAAAACTGGCCTTTTTCCAAATTAGATTTAGGTTTACATCTAATCATGAAAGTACAACTGTATATTATCCATAGAGTTAATCATCTTATTGTTATTAAATTCCCTCCAAAAAAGAAAAGTCCTGCAGGAAGAGATCAAAGAAGTACAAACCAGCGGCAGCACGGTATGCTGGAAAGCAAACAGATTTTGTAATCAGACAGACTAGGGTGTAAATCTCAGCTTTTTCATTTGTTAGTAGCGTAATCTTAGACAAATATATTATCTTGATTTTGAAAAAAAAAAAGCAAGGGTGAAAAGAGCTACCCTAGAAACTGCAGAAACAAGGACAATATTAGGACAATATATAACTTAACCACAGGCTCACAGAACTTGGTCCTTAATTTATAGGTCTTCTTTCTATGCTTTGGTTCTCTTCCTCCTTTATCTTCTTATCATTGTTCATTACCATGTGGGGGGAGTCTAGGATGGGTGGAGATGAGAGTATGCCCATGGGATGCTTTCCCATGAGCATCAGACCTGTAACTGAGGGGTCTTTGTGACCTCAGAAAGCCAGTTTTTCTTGGGTACCAGTTGGG